TCTTCTTGAATTACTAATTCTATTCTACTTCCCTCACAAGGCTGGGCTAATGAAATCTAGTTTTACACTTGAATGTCTTTTTTTGACCAACCAATAAAATAAAATTTGTGCTTGTAAATGTAAATGTTTAAAACTTCCTGGGACAAAAAGGAAGTTTTAAAATATATTACACATGTTGAAAGGAAATTTGTTATATGTGAAATTAAAAGGCTGTTTTTTACTCCAACTATATAAATATATCTATAGATGAGTGTTACTTTGTAGAATGAATGAAATATGAGCACCATCAATTTTTTCTTATTTTTTATTTTTACAGAAGAAAGTGCTGAGAATTATTTTCACATAAATCAAGTAGATGGTGATGGGAGGAGCAATATCTCTCAATTCTTTGAACTCCTGAGTTATTTGATAAAAATTATATATTAATCTATCATCAAAAATATTTTTAATAATCTCTCAGCAGATAAGCAATTGGGTCTCCTGTAAATTTTATTGAAAGTAAAGACCACAGTGCTAAAGAAATACCTTAGGGTGCCAAGCACAGGCATTGGTAGTAGCACATTTGAGCTTGATGACTGGATATTCCATCAACCATGTGCAACTCAGAAGAGGGGACAGTTGTGTTCATTTAGGGTTGAACTTGTGCCAGGTGTAGGTTAATTAAAATTCATAAGCAATACGAAATAATACATGGTAGAATCTAAGCTGGACAAGGAAAATGGTGAAAGAAGACCGCTGATGAACTAAGGAAAAGTGGAGGGGAGAAGGTAGAGGGAGGAGAGCCTTTTAAGATGGAAGATTGATTGGAGTAGTTGAAATGACAAATAGGTAAAAGAAGGAATCATGATTTGGGAGTTTTCGAGGTAGAGCAGTCATGAACAAATGACTGAAGATGTGTTCATGGAAGTAGCTGGCCATGGTTTCCAAAGGCTTGTCCAGGTTGATATTCTAAGGAAGGAAGAGCAGGGTGTGGAGTGGAGAGAAGGTGTGAGGCAGGCATCAACAGATTTGAACAATGAGAGAAAGGTTGGTAAAGGAGAACAACAAAAAGAGGGGTAGATGTTCTTGAAAGCTGAAAGGGGAAGGTCTTAGAGGAGCCTTCTTTGTTTACAAGAAGCTGAAGGAAAAATGGTTTGGAAATGGCCGTGGCGGGTACCAAAGGCATCACACTCATTGCCTGAGCCTGATGTCTGCAAACCTGGCATTTGAGAAGCACAGGGGAAGCCATGTCCTTGGGGTAGAGCCCCAGCTACTAGGAGGGAGAAACTCAGAGCACATCTGAATGGATAGAGGAGTTTGGTGCTTATGAAGGGGCAGTAACAAGAGGTCGCAGTGAAGAGTTTTGGTAAGTGAAGAGGGGTGGGACGGAGCTCAGTCAGGGACAAGGAATACAGAGCTTTAATAAAAATAATGATACAGATCAAGATCCCTGGTGTATATGTGAGGAGCAGGTGAATTCCAGCTTGAGTGTCAACTGAAGATAGCAGTAAAGAGGGTGGGTGGGTTTATACCCGCAGTCTTTTTTTTATATAATATATTTTATTGATTTTTTACAGAGAGGAAGGGAGAGGGATAGAGAGTTAGAAACATGGATGAGAGAGAAACATCAATCAGCTGCCTCCTGCATACCCGCAACTGGGAATGTGCCCACAACCATGGTACATACCCTTGACCAGAATCGAACCTGGGACCCCTCAATCCACAGGCCGAAGCTCTATCCACTGAGCCAAACCAGTCAGGGCTTTTTTTTTTTAGAGAGAGAGAGAGAAAAGAAGGGAGAGGGAGAGAGAGAAACATCAACGATAAGAGAGAATCATTGATTGGCTGCCTCCTGCATGCCCCCTACTAGGGATCGAGCCCATAATCCAGGCATGTGCCCTTGACCGGAATCAAACCGGGGACCATTCAGTTCGCAGGCCAACGCTCTATCTGCCGAGCCAAACCAGCTAGGGCTATTCCAGCAGTCTTTAAGGAGATGGGTTCTTGCCTAACTACTAAAAATCTGTTATACCTTGATAGAAGATGTACCTTGCTTGGTCAGAATAATTGAGGCTTACATGTTGCAGACATGCTGAATTATTATTTTAATGTACTTTTGCTTTTTATTGCCAGTATATCATTGAGATTATTTTTGCATCCATATTATTAAACAACAAATGGCATTGGCTTGTAATTTTCACTCTGTTTGTATGTATGTGTTTATGTATGTGTGGCATGTGCTTTGTCAGGTTTTGTTAGGAGGATTATGCTAGCTTTGTAAACATAGAGGTCCATCCTTTTCCACACTCTGGGGCTCTTTACCGAGCACAAACGTTATCTGTTCTTTGTTAGCCGGAAAGAACTTGGCTAAGAAATTCTCTGAATGAGTGCTGTCCAATGCAGTATATTAAGCACTTGAAATGTGGCTAGTAAGACCAATTAACTAACTTTTTTATTTCTTATTTTAATTTATTTTCCATTTAAAAATTGATACTCATCTCAGTTTTGGAAAACTTTTAAGTGTTTTTGGAACAACCTGGATATGTGAGTCTACTTTTTGTAAATTACATAAAATCTAAATATATAAAATATTTCTCATGAAAATTTAGCTACTCAGTTGAAATATACTTTAAATGCAAAATACACCTGGGAATTCAAAGCCTGGAATACCCCCCAAATAAAATGTATAACTTTTATATTGATTTCAATTTGACAAGATAATCTTTTATCATGGCCATCTATGTTGTTTAATAAAACATATTAAAATTAATTTTACCTGTTCTGTCTCACATATTTAGTGTGGCTGCTAGAAAATTTAAAGTTACATCTGCATTTGTGATGGAAATTATATTTCTATTAGAAAGCATGGTTCTGAACCATATGGTTTCCTGAATTAGTAAAATTTTCTCAGATTTTTCTAAAGCTATTGGTACATTCAGTTTTCCTATCTCTCCAGACTAAATTTTGATAATTTATATTTTTCTCAAAAACATTTATCTCAAATATATTTTTAAATGTGGGAATATAGTGTTTTACAAATATTTTATTGATTGATTGCTTTAATGTTAAATCACTTTTGAGACATATTAACAAATTCTGTTTTTATTTTTATTTTTTTTTAGATTTTTTATTACAAAGGGTATTACATATGTGTCCATTCCCCCGCCCTCCCCCACCCGCCCTAGACAGTCCCCTAGACAAATTCTGTTTTTATGGTCCATTCTTTTGCACACTCTGGGGCTCTTTGCCTGGCACAGATGTTATCTGTTCTTTGTTAGCTGTTTTGATTAATTATGTATCTGCTTTGATATTTATTTATTCTAGTGTATTTTTTGAATCATCAAATAACATTTCCTTATTTGTAGGAATTAAATCTTCATTTCTCTTCTAAAAATAGTTGAAGTTTTTAAAAAAGGATATCTTCAATGAATAAGGAAGTTTATTTTCAGTTCTATAAACAAACTTTTTTTTTGCAGTATATTACCTTGCTTCTAATTAACTAGATTTATTTTATCTATAGGTGTGTTTTTTTAGTATGTCATGTTCCATGAAATGTTTTTTCTCACAATATTACATTTAAAAATGAAACAATATTACATTTAAAAATTCCCTGCATATATGTTTCATTGACCCTTGTCCTTTCTTGCTTTGCAAACCATTTTTATAGAGAAAGCAATCACACTGTACTTTAAAAATGATCAACAGTAGGTATAATGTTTCTAAAATTTAACATGTTCCAAGGATGTGCTAACGTGTTTGCTCAAATGTTCATATTTAGGCCTCACAATAGCCTTGTGAGGTATGTGCTGGTGTTACCCGCTGTTTGCAGATGGGGAAACCAGACCAGAAAAATCTCGGAGACCCATTGAGGTTTCCCAGCGGTGGCCCATGGGCTTCAGACCTCATAAGTCTAACGCGAGAGATCGCTCTGTGTCTCCTACACAGCACTAGAAGAACATAGACATCAAGTATCAGAACAACGTCGTTCATGCTAAGACTCAGCTGTCAGGCAATTATGAGCAGTCATATTCAGTATTAATAAATTGCCCAATGATACGCTAGTAGGGCTAGACTTTAGTCTCCCATAATAGCCTCACAAAAATCTTTGTCATCTGTAATTGAGGTATACCTTCTATAAACAATTGTTTTCTGTCATCATTTTCAGGGCTGGGGAAGAAAAAAAATATCAATTAGCTACTTTTAAATTTTTTTAATGGATTTTAGAGAGAGAGGAAGGGGGTGGAGAGAGAGAGAGAGAGAGAGAGAGAGAGAGAAACATCAATGTGAGGGGGAGACATCGATCTGTTGCCTACAACTGGGATCAAACTCACAGCCTGACTGTGTGTCCTGACCAGCCACTCAACCAACTGAACCACCTTTGGTGCATTGGGGGACACTCAACCAACTGAACCACACCGGCCAGGGCCCAGTTAGCCATTTTTCGTACCCTGTATCTCCAAATTAGAATTTTGAAGCCATACTTATATCCGTAGAATGGTAGAAAAGAAGAAATATCATGCAATTTACTTCTTTGGGCAAGCAAAGGCAAAGACCTGCCTTTTTGCCTCTCAACTCAAGCCCGTTCGTTATCAACTGCCTTTTAAAATGAACTCAGCTATGGTATAGTCTCTTTTAAAAAGATTTAGACCAGTGGCTCTCAACCTTCCTAACGCCGCGACCTTTTAATACAGTTCCTCATGTGGTGACCCCCAACCATAAAATTATTTCCGCTGCTACTTCATAACTGTAATGTTGCTACTGTTATGAATCGTAATGTAAATATCTGATATGCAGCACGTATTTTCATTGTTACAAATTGAACATAATTAAAGCATAGTGATTAATCACAAAAACAATATGTAATTATATATGTGTTTTCCAATGGTCTTAGGCGATCCCTGTGAAAGATTTTTTCGCCCCCCAAAGGGGTCGCGACCCACAGGTTGAGGACCGCCGATTTAGATATTTAGTAGTGACAAATGACGTGTCATTAATTTGTAATTCTTTTCTTTCTTTTAAAGATAGTGTTTTTAGAAGAAGCATCTCAACAAGAAAAGCTGGCCAAAGAATGGGGTTTCAAGCCATGTGACATAAGAGAACTGAGCCAACAGTAAGTCATGCCAACTCCTTCCGTTTTGTGGATGCCATTAACTCATCTCAAATGCTAAGAAAACTGCCTTGAGAGGCAAAGAGGCTTCTTTATTTCTTTAAGGTTGAGATGGGAAGGGGAGGTAAACGGAGAACAGGGACAGGAGCTGTGAGTACTAGAGGCTGCCATCATTCATTTGCTTCTTTGGCACATATTTGCTGAGCTTAGTCTGTGCAAGAACTGGGATTCGAAGGTGAAATGGTCTCTAAAGCCTTTGTCCCCACGGTGTTTACGGCCCTTTACAGCCCCTGGGGAACACAGAACCCAAACAAGCGCACAGATAGGGAACAAGACAGTGCTGGCTTGTGAACCTTCTGTAAAGGAAATAAAGAAAGAGCATGAGAGAGATCATGTTGGGAGGACAGGAGAGAGATTTGGGGAGCAATAGCTGACATCATGGTGAGGTAAGGCCTGGCTCTAAAAATGTATTTGAGCTGCAATTTCATATTCCAACTATTTTTGGTAGTTTTAAATAATTTGCTCAAAACGTGTTTCTTCTGCTTGCCCACATTCATCGTAGTCTGCTTGATCAGGTTCATGGAAATGGAGATACTTTTTCTTTTTCTTTTTTTTTTTAATTAATAAAGATATATAATTTACAATATTATGTGACTCTAAATATTCACTTTTTTACATATGGTTTCTGTGGTTTTTTACAATGAATATATATTACTCTTCTAATCAGAAAAATACATAAATAAAATAAACTATGATTCTCTAGTTTCCAATTTTAATAAGTACAATTTTTAAAAGATTAACTCAAAAGCTTACCTTTCAATGAAAAAAAAATCATACCACCCCTAAAGATGATACCTAATACAATAGAATATTTCTCTTTTTTTGTCTATGAATTAATTTTTATTTTTTGCTTTTTTAACTCAACGATTTAATCTTGTTTCAGGCCATGTATATTTCCAAAGTCAGTGAAAGTTCCCAAGTCAATCAAAATTATTTTCATTCTAAAAACATTTAACTTGGAAAGTGACCTTAGAATAATGTAATGAGAAGAACACTGAAGCCGGAATTAGAATAGGTGGCGTGAATCCTCATGCTACAGTTTGTGGCTGTTAACTGTAATGCAAGCCACTTCCTTTCTCTGAGCTTTATTCCTGGGCTGTTAGCAAAGGATTGTCCTAGGTCACAGTGTCCCCTGCAGCAGATCTGTGAACTGTGTTACCCCTAAGGCTTTAAGGCAGAGGGGCTGGTCACAGTCCAGAGAGACAGAGGTAACTGACCATAAAATTTTGTTGCATTTGCATTTATACTCACATCTCCTACCTCCTTCCCTCCCTCTGCTGCCTCTCTGTTGGCCTGCATGCTTGCGGGCAATGGGCATAGAAATGAATCCAGTGAGCATGGAGAGAATTCCAGTGACTTCTACTGTTACCGTCGCTTCCTGTTGCTAGATTTTCATGAGAATAGATGTTGAGGAACAAGGCTTGGGTGCCTTGGGAATCAGAGATTAGAAGGAGGCTTGGGAGTGGGTGAGGTGGAGGCTGGGAGCGAGGGAGAGGATGGTGAAGTGGTTGGAGGATGGGGCGGGGGAGTCACATTGGTGGGTCATTTTTTTGTCCCTCCTTATGAGGCTGCTTTTGGAATTAAATTCATCAAAGAAATGACGAGGCAAAGGCACCTCTAAGCACAGGACACCAATAAGAGGTAAGGTAAGAAAAAAAAGTTAAACTTTGGTGGAAGACTGAAGTCTTTGAAGAAAAATCATATATAAAATGCAAAGTAATTGACATATTAAACACGTAAGATATATGCGTTTGAATTTCTTTAAGTCAGTATTAAAATACCACAGAACATGCTGTCTCTGATCTTCTGTTTCAGGGATTCTGTGTATCTACCAGTATAGGTCTCTCTCAGCACAAGGTGTATTTTTAAAAAAACATGAAAATTGCAACTCTGCGCAGTCCCTTGGTAGGAGTGGTTCAGATTGTGGCCACGGACCATAGAGGGGTTGGCAGGGCCAAGATTAGGGTGAGACGAGTGAGGCATTTACCTGGGGCACAGAATTTATGGGGGGTGGGGTGGGCAAAAACTCAGTAATCAACATAAATATCAGTTTAATGCGATATTTAAAAAAAATCAAAATTAATGCCAAAAAAAAAAATCTGTGATGACCAAAATACCAAAAAGTTTAAATAAAGATAGGATGTTGGTTTCATATCCTTGTATTTTGTGTGTGCAAGAAAAGAGTGGTTTTCAAACAGTTCTGTGCTCCCAGAGCAGGTTAACAATGTTGTTCAAAGAGATTGAGTCACTCGGGCCTTTATAGGCAGTCATAGGCTTTAATTCTAAAGCTTTTATTAAGGTTTTCCACTGGGTTAGAAGACAGGTGGATGCTTCAATAAGCATATGTAGGGCACACTTTGTTCTTTTTCCTTCGGTTCTGAGGCAGCCTGGCCTGCACTACAGGTTTGAAATATGAAATTGATGTTCTTTTCTGGTGGAAGACGAGATTTGCTAAGGGAATTATGATAGTGATTAAGGCAGGTGAAAAGAGGAAAGAAGAAAGGAGAGCTTTTCACCTCGTCTGCTTCCTTCAAAGCTCCGTCTCTGCTTTGCCTGCAGCTTGACTTTTTTTTTTTTTTTACATATGTCTACTTTTTGCAGCTTGACTTTCGATGGCTATGATTTAGCTGTAAGTTAGGGCTGGGGTGAGGAACTGAGTTCTAATCCTGGCTGCACCACTAACGAACTGCACGTCCGAAAATGACTTTGGCATCTCTGAGCTTCCTTTGGGGCTCTGTGACCTCTAATCTCACATAACACACACACTCTAGCACGTGCTGCTATCAGTAATATAAGTCCTTGACTAGACCTTGATTATGTGAATGTTTCTATTACTAAGCCTTCCACAATACTTCCTGCATCCTAAAAAGGATTGTTAGCTTTTCTGGATGAAAATCACATTTCTGATGCAATAAGTCGCTGGTGTTCCGTTGCCTCGGAAGACTTTGCACCCTGAATTATCTCCTTTACTTCTTTTACCTCTGCTACCTTCAGAGCATGCTTGGGCTTCTCCTGAGGGAAAACAAAATGTAGCGTTCTCCCTCCTCCCCTACATTACCATCCCAACATTCACTACCAAATATTTTCAAAGCAAGCTCTCCATCTGTCCAGCAGTTCCTCTGACACCTGTCCTTCGTGTTCATGGCCCTCTCCTCAGCTTCTTCCTCCCTTCATCATCTGTGATTAACCTCACACCAGTCATTCCAACTTGGGAGCTCTCTCTCTCCTAGCAGAGCTTCATTTTTCTATCTTGATCTCTACATACTAGTAATAGATGAATTAAGTCGTCTGTTTGCAGCAGCTCTCACTGGATGTGGGACGAACAGTTCATTCATGGCCAAGAGAAAACAAGATGTAAACATATGGAAAACGACGACAGATGCTATTAAATTCTTCTTCTCTCTTCTTAATTTCCAGTGAGTTCTTCATGCCTGGGCTGGTTGATACACACATCCATGCCGCTCAGTATTCCTTTGCTGGGAGTAACGTAGACCTGCCGCTTCTGCAGTGGCTGACCAAGTACACGTTTCCTACAGAACTCAAGTTCCAGAACTTGGACTTTGCTGAAGAAGTATATACCAGAGTTGTCGTAAGTATCCTGCTTGTGAGTGCTGGCGTATGATGTTTGGTCACCTGTAGAAACATCCATTACTTGGAGCGTGTTTTAAGTATAGAACACAGGCAGGTAAGGCTAGAATGGGCTACAGAGGTTTATTTTAGTTCTTTCATGGCCCACTGAGTTTGTGACCACCTCATCTACACAGCTAGTCACCAGCAAAGAGTGAACTTGAGTTCAGATTCCCAGATTCCCCAATTAGATGGGCTCTCACCACTCTCCATCTTTTACTTTTTGTGTGTTACTTCACTAAATTTGGGTTTAATGCATATGCGTGTTCCCTTACTCTTGCTAATTCACAATACTGTTCTGGGGACCATATAGAATACCTGAGTAACCTTTGGGAAGTTCTGTGGCTCATCTTCCCCATCTGTAAGAGATATGGGAAGAGAGAGAGAGAGAGAGAGAGAGAGAGAATGATAGCACCTATTTCACCAGATTGTTATGACAATTAAGCCAGTTAATTTGTAAGGTTCTTAGGTACCTGACAGATGGAAGGCGTTCTATTTGCTTTAAAAAATACCCAAGGCAATTAAAAATTAAAAATTTAAACTACAGTTAGAAGGGCGTCATGTTATTTTGGTAGCTTTGTAAGAAGGGAAAATAGGATGGTCCCTTTACTGGGCATATGGGATTGTGACGAGCGTTAACACCACTAGAGGGAACTATGGGGCTAGTTCAGTCATTGAACAGTGGCTGTAGTGTGTGCCAACTGTATGTTGAAGACTCCAAAATACCCTTCCTTTCACTCTCTCAAGAAAATCGTTTCCCATCTTTCCACTCCAACCCTATGCCCAATCCACTTAGCAGCCAGAAACAGCTTCTGCAGTTGGGAATTAAAGCAGCAAATGCCTCATTATCTGACCACTGCCTCTTACCATTCAGTACACATAGCCTGAATAATACTGCATTTTCTCCTAAAGTGATGGCTATGTGATGATGGCAATATTGTAAGCCTTATATACTAACCAGTTATCCTGCCTGTTTCCTGGTTTTGTGTCACCCAAACTTTGAAGAATAAAGTAAGTGCTATCGTTTATACACCTGCCTCGCTTAATTATAAATTCGGTGTAATTGTGGGTTTTCATATTTAGCATGTATCTGCATGACACCAGAAAAACTGAGGACTAAAGCTGTGTGTGGAGCTGCATTGTGTTAATGAATTGTGTTAACCACACCAAAGCTTTTTATTTTCAAAATTTATTTATACCTTGCATTGCTCTAAAAAGGGTTTGAGATATCTTAAAATTGCATAGTATCCAACAGAAGAAAATGAGTCATAAGGCATAGCAAAGGAAAAAAAGGGGAGAGGAAAGATAAAATAAAACCAAGAGGTAAATATATGCCATGGGGATCCATGCATTTGTTAGAGTTTGTCACACATTTGGCTTTAAATGTCTGGGTAACCCAGAGAGAAAAATCAATTTTGAATTTTATACTGTATGTATGATTTAAAAAACCCCCACACAAACAGTTGTAAGGTAAAGCATATCTATTTATCACACTGAAATTTAAGAGAATTATGCCCAATATTACAATATAGTTACATGCTCTGATGTCAAAATATATACTGTCAAGGTACTATAGTATCAAAAAAAATCCAGATATGTACATCTTTTATGTTTGGAGTTCTAGATACTCCCTCCAGGCCATACTCCATAAATTTTATTTCTTAAATCAGACGAGATTGGGCACGTTCAGGGTGGTATGGCCATAGACTTATTTCATATATCAGAGATTTGAGTAAGAATTTGATGCCAGTGAGTACAAGATGGGTGTTATTCTCAACAGGTATTTGCAGTTCACACATCCAATATTTCTGATTATGAGCAGGCCCGCACACTTTGAGAATTGCATGAGCCAAGGTTATGGCTAAGAAAGTTCAGATTTGTTAACTAGAGCCTGTCCTTAGGCTGAAGACTGCCCATGGCAATGGATAGGGATGCTAGGGCTGCACCCATGAATAGAATCGAGACATTTTTGTTTTTAATTTTCTCCTTCAAAAAACAGTTCTAGATCTATACTTCAACAAATTGGCAATCAAGACCACACAGTTTTGCACCATAGAGTTTTTTTGTCTTTTTCTTTTTACATCTATAGGTAATATTTCCATTGTCCTCATTGCTAAATAGCTGAAATTTTCCATTTTGATTCCATCTTCAAGCCCAGGTTTTAGAAAAGTGATTAAAATTTTGAGAATTTAGAAAATGTTTGCTAATATTTCTGTTTTGAGTTTCACTTTACTCTGGTTGGCAAATATAATTTGAATGATTATTTTTCTTGAGAAATGATTCATTGTTTTTTTATGACCCAACAAAAGGTTAATTTTTATAGTTATCTGCACATTTTTTTAAAGATTGTGTTTTCTCTGGTGTCATGACATTTTTTACATCTCTATAGACTAAGTTGTTAAGTGTTAAACAAGTCTAGCATTTTCCTTTATACTAGGTAAGAATCTTACATACCCTTCCCTTCTTCATGCTATACCCTCCTGAGATTTTTGTTCCAGTTTATCAGTTTATTATTTTTCAACAGCAGCACTTAATTTAAAAATGAACTCTACTTTTGCTATTTGGATCCCCTGTCTTTCTTTTGCATTCATTTTTTTTATTTTCTTGAAATCCTTTTTCAATAAAGTGGGTGATAAACATTCCAAATCCTTGAATTACCAAAAATGGTTTTACTTTCTTATGACTCGCGAATGGTGATGCACTTTCACTGTAGAGAGAATTCTTCTTGAAATGATTTTCCCATCAGCATCTAATACGCTGATGTCAATCTGATTCTCTTTTATTCTGGCTAATTTGCTGGCCTTCAGGATGTTCTGAAATTTCACTTATAGATTTTTTTTCAGTTTATTACCTTTCATATGTAGTTTATTCAATATGAGAACTACTGTCTTTCTTCTAATTTGGGAAATTTATTTCTCTCTCTTTCTCTCTGAGTATATTCTTCCCTGCAATCTACTCTTTGTTTTGGTAACTCCTATTAGAAAAATGTTAAAGCTTCTGTATATGCTTTTGTATTACATTCTTAAAGAACACGTGGTCTAATTTTGCAAGTCATTCACTCACTCTACTGTTAGTATAGCCTGTCCTCTTTCAAGGACACCATGTCCTATTCTATTTGTCTAAGAACTAGAGGCTCGGTGCACAAATTCATGTATGGCCAGGGGGAGGGGACGTGGGAGGTTGGCCAGCTGACCCCGCCCCCTGGTCGAACTCCTGGTCAAACTTCCAGTCGATGGGACAATTTGCATATTAGCCTTTTATTATATAGGACTAGGGGCCCGGTGCACGAAATTCATGCACGGGGTGGGGGGGGGGTGTCCGTCAGCCCAGCCTGCCCCCTCTCACATACTGGGCGCCCTCAGGCGTTGACCCCCATCACCCTCCAATCGCAGGTTTGGCCCCCAGCCCAGGCCTGATGCCTCTGGCCCAGGCATCAGGCCTGGGCAGAGGACCCCCAGACCCCTCCGATTGCTGGCTCTGCCCCTTGCCCAGGCCTGATGCCTCGGCCAGAGGCGTAGACCCCCATCCCTCTCCGATCGCCTGATCGGCCCCTTGCCCAGGCCTGACGCCGCCTCCGCCAGAGGTGTCAGGCTTGGACAGGGTTCCCCCTGTTCCCCCCAATCACTGGCTCTGACCCCCGCCCAAGCCTGAGGCCTCTGGCCCAGGAATCATGCCTGGGCAGGGGTCCCCCATCTCCCTCTGATCGCTTGCTCCACTCCCCGCCCAAGCCTGATGCCTCTGACCCAGGCTTCAGGCCTGGGCAAGGGGACCATCATATCCCCCCAATCCCCGGCTCTGCCCCCCACCCAG